CAAAATATCCCAAAATCACCCCAAAAAACAGCCCCAAAATATCCCAAAATCACCCCAAAAAACAGCCCCAAAATATCCCAAAATCACCCCAAAAACCAGCCCCAAAATATCCCAAAATCACCCCAAAATCAGCCCTAAAATATCCCAAAATCACCCCAAAAAACATCCCCAAAATATCCCAAAATCAGCCCAAAAACCGCCCCAAAATATCCCAAAATCAGCCCAAAAACCAGCCCCAAAATATCCCAAAATCACCCCAAAAACCAGCCCCAAAATATCCCAAAATCACCCCAAAACCAGCCCCAAAATATCCCAAAATCACCCCAAAATATCCCAAATTCACCCCAAAAACCAGCCCCAAAATATCCCAAAATCAGCCCAAACCGAAGCCCCCTCCCCAATTGGGAAGCCCCCTCCCCAAATGGGAAGCCCCCTCCCCAATTACCCGCAGGCTCTGCAGCAGCTCGTTGATGATGCCCAGGGCCCTCAGGGGGTGCAGCCCCCTCCCCAAATGGGAAGCCCCCTCCCCAATTACCCTGAGGCTCTGCAGCAGCTCGTTGATGATGCCCAGGGGTGCAGCCCCCTCCCCAAATGAGAAGCCCCCTCCCCAATTACCCGCAGGCTCTGCAGCAGCTCGTTGATGATGCTCAGGGCCCTCAGGGGGTGCAGCCCCCTCCCCAAATTGGGAAGCCCCCTCCCCAATTACCCTGAGACTCTGCAGCAGCTCGTTGATGATGCCCAGGGGTGCAGCCCCCTCCCCAATTGGGAAGCCCCCTCCCCAATTACCCTGAGGCTCTGCAGCAGCTCGTTGATGATGCTCAGGGGTGCAGCCCCCTCCCCAATTGGGAAGCCCCCTCCCCAATTACCCGCAGGCTCTGCAGCAGCTCGTTGATGATGCCCAGGGGGTGCAGCCCCCTCCCCAAATGGGAAGCCCCCTCCCCAATTACCCGCAGGCTCTGCAGCAGCTCGTTGATGATGCGCGCCGCGTGCTCGCAGCGCTCCGGGGGTCCCATGATGTGCGCGATCTTCTCCGGCCCCGTCCCGTCGTCTGCGCAATTTGGGGAGGGGGATTCGGGCCCGGGGACCCCCTGAGCCCGCAGACCCCTCCCCAAATTCCCCCAAAGCCCCGCGGGCTCGGCACGGGGGTTCACTGGCCCCCCCCCCGAGCCCGCAGACCCCTCCCCAAATCTCCGCTCTCAGGCTCTGCGGCAGCTCTGCAGCGATGCCCTGACCCCAAAGCCCCCTCCCCAAATTCCCCAAATTCCCACTGGCTCTGCAGGAAACCCCCCAGCGTTTCCCCCTCCCCAAATTCCCCAAATCCCCTCCCCAAACCCAAATCCCCCTCCCCAAATTCCCCAAAACCCTCCAGCATTTCCCCCTCCCCAAACCCCCCAAATCCCCC